GGTCCCCCCGCCCGCCAAACCGGGCGGCAAGGTCCGGCACCCGACCAGAGCAGCAGGACTTACCGAGTGATGTGCGGTGTGCCTGTGCTATAGAAAACTTCCAAAGAAGCTTACTTGATTAAACTATCTAAAGTCAAAGCAGAAATTAAAGAGAGAGGGATTAGAAGTTCTTTTTATTACTGCGCTATTTTAACTACCATTACATATAGTATAAAAAGTCATTACTAATGACTTAATAATTATTTTTTCATTATAATAGCAGTTTGCAGTGATGCATCACACCACACCTTCTCTCTTACAACTTAAAAGAGAGAAGGATAGCAGGGTGTATACCCAGAATTGAGGTCCAAGTAGTTAATTTTCTCTACACCTAAATTTCAGTGTTAAATGGCACATTCTGTGTCAATAGTGAAGTGATGTAAATAATGAAATATGTTGAAAGTTAGCAATGTTTTGAAGTATTTAAGCTGTGTTTTTACATATAAGACAGTCTGTGCCTCTTTAGTATTATACGAAGAATAAATTAAATATATTTTAACATTATGGACTATTTTTCTTGTTATTTTCAGGCCGACATTTGCATGTGGAGGAGTTGTATCTGGAGAGTCAGGGTTTATTGGAAGTGAAGGATTTCCTGGAGTCTACCCTCCAAACAGCAAATGTACTTGGAAAATAACAGTAAGAATTTCTAATATCACAAAATCAGTGCTGAAGACAACTAAGAGCTATTTGTTGTCAATGCCAGTGTTTTATATGGGATAACATATGGGCAGTAATGGACTCAGTTAACTCAGAAAGGGTTGCTGTAATATAATAATGGCTGAAATAGAACTGACCTTGCCTAATGCCAGAAGCAAATTTTCACTGACTTCCATAGATACACATCTACTTGTTTTAAATTAAACCACCTGAAAGCAAACATCTACCCTTCCAGTCACTATGGAAAGCAATAGTTAGTTACATCAAATGGATTGAAGTAAAGCTTTAAGATGTAGATAAGGAAAAGCAAAATTAATTGGCAAGAAGACATAGAAAAAAAAAAAAATAAATCAGGCAGATTTGTCTGCCAGTTCTGCCAGCCAGGATATCTGGAGTACATCATACAGCAAACCTGACAGAGCAGTAAGAGAGTGTCCTTACATTTACAAATGACCATGCAAAAGCAGGTGGTACGATTGATATTTTGATGCTGAAATGAGAGTGTAGGGCAAAGATGTGGTATTAACAGGCAGCAAATGCCATTAAACAACTATGACTAAACACTCCAGTGCTGGATGTGTCCTTATCCACAGTCTCAGAGAAAGGTATTTGAATGAATGGTTACTTTTCCTCACATCTGCACAGTTTAAGCCCTCCAAAATTGCCCACCAAATTTCCTCTCCATTTTTTAAGCACAGTTCACTAAGAACTCCTGTGACATTCAGGCCTAGAATATGTGCTTTGCAGAAAACATGAAGTATAAGAAAGGATAAAATAAATTTTTTTCTGTGTGACAGGACCACTAAAGATAACTTCAGTTCAAAGACTGCATTACAGGTTAGGTGTCGGCAGCAGAACAGGATGTCATGGGATAATTCTCTCCTGCTGATGCATAGATGCTGATGCAAAGCAAGAGACAGTGATCTGTTTACAGTATTTGATTAAAATGACTCTTTTACCAGACAAGTGATGTAATTTTAATTATTTTATCTGAAGGATACCAGTGAAGCTGCAACGGCTGCTTTCTGCACCATTATTATTAGGGTCAAGTTGGAGTTTACCTTTAATCTGACACTGACTTCATCCAGAAGAACATGATATGAAATACAGTGTATGCTTATAAATAAACTTGCTTCCCAGTGTCAAGGCACCAAGATTACAGCAATTAGTATGGCCCATTTTACAATCTGAAGAGCAGATGCAAATTGCATTTGGAATCATACACGCATGACTTAAATAAAAGGGAAAAAAACCTCCCAAGTTAGTTTACCAGTATAATTCAGTATTAGATCTTCAAAAGTTCAAAACTGAATCTGCAGGGAAGTAATAATTTTGATTGTAACAGCATAAAATTTTTCATATGAAAAAAAATTGGATTACAAATGGAGGCAGCACTGAAGAAGCATTTACTGAAGCACCCCGTGGATCTGCCCCTCGTCACACATTGGGCATAGAGCAAGAAGAGAACAACTGATTGTGTTTAAAAAGTCCATACAGAGTGGTTTCACTGCAGACTTAATGTGGCTGTTGCCAACACTATGTAAGCATGCAGGTTAGCCCAGACATTGTGAGAAGCATTACCACAAGGCTGTAGCAGAGCTTTGGGATTTATTGACCATGGGAAGAACTTGATGGCTTCTGGCATTTCATGATCATCCTGACTCCCACTTTTCTGCTGTACTGCATACCTATTCTCTGTAGCTCACCTGAAGCCAGAGAAGGGCCATACAACTGTTGTAGTCCAGCCATTCGTGTGCCCCCACCTCATTTAATTCCTATTAGACCATATTCTTCACTAAGCCAAACTGATCTTTCCCCCCCGCCTCAGCTGTGTAGAATTCCATCTTTTGGATGCACAGGAAGGACACAGGGAAGGCAAAGACTACAAAACTTGCAAGACTAAGCTTGCACCCTCTTTAAATAGAGCATGATTTACAAAACTGAGGGAAAGTGCTACACTCAAGGTCTGATTAGCCTGAATTTGAACAAAAAAATCCTTTAATCAGATACTAATGATGTTCAGAATAGTTTGCAGTAGCACCCAAGCAAGAAAGTCAGTTATACTGCCATGAAGAAATATGCTGTAGTTACTGTTAGGCTTCCTCATTTAGCACCTGATCTTAGACTTTTTACCTGTTCATTTTAGCCAAGGGCTGTGAACACCTTCCTGAAGACACTCTGCCTAATGCAGGATCTGACAAGTCTTCAAATCTGGAAGAGACATTGATTCACTTTGCATCTGAGTCACAAGAATCATGAAGCTATTGTTTTCTGAACTACAGAATCTCATTGTCTATAGAAGAAATCCAGAGAGGCAGAGTGACTGCTAATTCATTCTTTAGAAGAAAATAGGTTTAGAAAACATTATGGGTAATACAGATAAAGGAATGTAGCATTCAGGTATCAGGTGAATTATTTCCAACTGGTTTGCTAGTCTCTCTAACTCAGTTATGGTTCTGTTATTTCTAGAAACTGGGACTTTTTCAGCTGGCTAAAGAAAACAGCTTCTCTATTCTAAGAACCCGAAGAAGTGTTCAGTACATGCTTGTGGTTATATTACAGCCTTGGCAGACTACCCAGCAGCTTTGAGCTGGCTTTCAGGAGTCATTTGTACAGCTATTTCCTTTCCTATAATAATGTACATAGCATTATCTAAAATATGCCATATATATTTACTTTTAATACTCTGTAATCCTTTTTGACCATCACCTCACATAAATGTGTCACAAAGTCCGAGAATCTTCACTGCTGTTCTGTGGTTTTCTGTCAGACTGTGTAGTTCCCATAAAACTATTAACAAATTTATGTGCAACAATAATACTAAAGACTGTCAGTTATGTAGGTTTATATTTAGGTATATATTTATGTAGGTTTATTTTTACGGGTTCAGGAGCTGTTTTCTAGCAAGTTTGCTAACTAAACAAGATTTGAAAAATTTACTTATCAAGGGAGCTGGGAATTTGCCCTGGGGGAGTGAAATATTTTAAATAATTTTGTTTATGTTTTAAGCATTGATTTTCCTATATCATTGTGAAACTGCCTTTCCAAGAGAGAACAGATTTTTACACATGGTTGTATTGCCAGAAAAGAAATAGCTGAACAGAATCTAGTGCCTTTGTCAGGGAGAGCAAGCTAATCCAAATATTTTTTTAAATTGCTCCTTTCTGTCTGGAGAAGATGGAGCCAGGGAACAAGTGACTAGGCAGGAAAGTGACTAGGCAGGAAAGTGACTAGGCAGGAGCTGTGGTTCTTCCCAGGATGTAATTCCAAGTAACTTTCATATTCATTCTCAGCAGAGAGAAACAGTATGTTTGGCTTGCAGATAGCTGATGTATTTTTCAAGTCTGCCTAAGACTGCTGTGGCAAAAATTACAACCAGCATCTTGATATCAAACATAGCCAAAATATATTAAACACATCTACAGTATAGGTTTAAAAATGAGGCAAAATATTTCCTCAGAGAGTTGGC